ATTATATACATACTGGAATGTGCAATGCAAAATATTTCAGTACCGGTACAGACCAAATATTCGATTAAGAAATTTTTTGATAGACGGAGTTAATCAGTTTGACTTCTGAGAGACTCATAGATGATATTCAATACAGAAAATAATCGTCAATACTGTAATATCGATCGTTTGAGTTTCGATTACTAAGCTAATCTTTGCTCACAATCAGTTTAACGAGTACAGTGTGCTCTGTAAGTGGGCAATCCTTGATTATTTTTTCACAAAAATATAAAAATTGCTGCTTTGTAAAATTCTCGAATATCTAGGGACATTCTTTTACTGACCCTTTGTAAATTATAGTTTCATTGGCGATTAGTTTTCGGTAGACTGGTCAGCTTCGCTGTTCGTTCCCCAATGTAATCCTTTAGCAAATCGAACAACCTTTTACGATTTAATGCCGCGGCTCCACCTTCCAATATCCGTTGTAATATATCCACCGGGTGCCGTTTTCGACGGCGAGATTTGTCGCTGGGAAAGAGCCAATATGAAAGAATTATCGACGACCTCTCGCCTTCGGGTCACAACGCCACTCGTAAGCACTTCTCGTTCCCATAGATTCCCGACCAGCCGGGGTCCAATTACTAATTATTTCAACAGCCATTCTCCACTTGTGTAACATCAAAGCTTATTACTCGTATGATTCGAAGAGACACTAACGAAAAATCAATCGTTGCATAATTCTGTATACAGAAACATGCACAAGCTATTTTTCAAAAAAAAAAAAAAGAAAGAAAAGGAACAGTCCCATTTATTATTCTTCTTGCAACAATTGACTTCCCGACCGATAAATTTGAAATACTTTTCCAGTCACTCATCGACGATTTACTGTATTTCGTAATAAACTGTAGCTTATAATAATCGTATAAATTGCTTTCCTCTAAAAAAAACTTTTTTAAACAGTTTACCCTTGTTACAATATTAAAAAAACATGTCTTTACAGTAACAGAAAAATTAGGTACTAGTAGTGTTGTATAAAGCTCGAGTCTTTGAAGCTACAAAGCTTAGCCTTAAAGACTGAGTCTTTAAGGCTACAATCATATGAAGCTCGAGGCTCAAGGCTCGAGCTCCAAGGCTCGAGTCGTCGAGGCTCGAGGCTCGAGTTTCAAGGCTTTGAGTAGTCGAGGCTCGAGCCTCGAAGCTCGAGGCTTTTATGTTTAACACGTTCACTGCTGAGCGTGTTTCTGCTGGTTTTGTCTTCAGCGCCAAAGAGTGATTGCCCATTAGAATCATATAATAATATATTACACAATATGATTATATGTATTGTGCAAACTTATCATGCGTAGTACATTAATCTTGCTGCCGGTCATCTATGACTCCCACGGCGTAAGAGTATGTTTCCAGTCGATCAGATAATACTATATTTTGAACATTACAGACAAATTTTTAGCAATGTTTCATTTCGTCTACTATTCAATGGTTATTTTGTTTCATTTTTCATTTCCCTTTCTTGGTATCAATCTCTCATGTGTTTGCAGTCATCGCTGTATTTTTTAAAAACTGTATAAAGTATAATATTATAGATTTAGTGTAAATTCCATTATTTAACACTTAAGGGTTCTAGAGGGTTGAACCTTAAAGCTTCAGACTTAATGTGGAATAACACAGTGACGATTGGCAAAAATTAAGTTTTTTATATATATACTTTCAAAGTATAATTTTTCGAAAATATTCTACCAGAATATTAAGTCGAATATCACGTGAATAACGAAAAAAATGTCCCAACTTTGATCAATGAACCGTGAACAAATTGAGAAATTATTTTGTTCGACGCGTAACATCCTATGACTCGTATATCTTGCTCAAGTATACATAGGTATTTTGTAATAAAAGAAAATTTAACGTATTGTCCAAAATATATATTTGATCACCCTATTAATAATAGTATAATGAGGTTTGGGTGTTGCAGAACTAATTTATAAAAACCACGCTTTTCTGGACGTTTTTGGATTATTCCCCCTTGAATCTTTAAAAGCTTGAGATTCGTGTAATATCGGAGTTAAAAATAAAAAATTTTTAGGTTAAGTTTTAAAGCTTCGAAAATTCAAGGTCTGTACATTGAAATACTTTTCCAGTCACTCATCGACGATTTACTGTATTTCGTAATAAACTGTAGCTTATAATAATCGTATAAATTGCTTTCCTCTAAAAAAAACTTTTTTAAACAGTTTACCCTTGTTACAATATTAAAAAAACATGTCTTTACAGTAATAGAAAAATTAGGTACTAGTGATTCTAAAAAAATACACTGATGTTGCCATGACACTGTAAATACCAATATCCTTTCCTGTCGATTAAGATATCGTAACATATGACAATCACCTCCAGTTTCCCCAACTCTAGATTCTCCAGACGATTTCGAAGTGGAGGCGAATCGGGGACGATTAAGCGATCCAACAATCGCGATACCACGCCGTACAGGAAAAGAGAAACTATATAAATCGTCGTTGCTTGATGGTCGCCAAACATCCGGCAATAATTCGAGACGCCTTGTTCGACATCGATTTCACCTTCCTTCGACCACCCAGTTCCTCCCCCACCACTCTGTCCCACCGGCGAAAATCGCTTATTTCATCGAGCCGCAGACAGCACTTTATTTCCCCGCGCAGCCGCCGCCGCCTCGGCCGGAAAAGTACCGGCGCGATATAACGTATAAATAATGAGACCGCTTTTCCCACGCAATAACTAGCGTGTTTCATGGTAAATCATCGATATTGGCATTCTTCCAATAACGTATCGCGACTAGGCGGTGGCGCACCACCCCCATCCTGGATATATTATCAGGGTGTATCGAGGTAGCCGAGATTACAATCCACCCCCTACCCCCCTATGGAACTCTACCACCCCCGTTCGCCCTGGTTCGATTCGACGGGGCGAGAATTAAAGCGCAGCCGATACGTGAAAAATTTCCCTTGGTTACTGCGTTCAAATTTTTGTTTATCGAACACATTCGTGTTTGTGCGTGTGGATTAATGGAATTTGTTAATTGAACGTTTCGTCGGTGATTTCTACGCGTTCGCGGGATTCGTTAGCGGAGGGGCCACCGGTGTTTTGTTGTTTTCGCGGATTGCTGGACGAGGCTGGGCTAACGTAAGCATGTTTTACAGATTGGGGGTTGATGATCAAGAGGGAATTGTTTGTTGAAATTTGATGGTTGGGGGAGTGTTGAGGATGGAAATTTATAGTGGCGGAGATATAGAGAATTTGGGGGTATTCTTTTGGTGATCGATGGAACCTGTTTTATAGTTCGATCATTTTTGTGGAAGGGGTGGCTAGCAAGGTTCTTGAGGAAGTTAGGGAATATCTCCACTTTAATATACAATATTCTGGTTCTAGTTAGTATCGTATACCTTCCTCTGTTTACTGCGTTGAACTCTAAACTAGAATACCAATTTCGTGGTTTTGTTATATGTTGTTCAGAAACTATACATTATATTGTATGTTGGTGATATACAGGGTGTAACAAAAGTGCTGTAGGTCCCTCAAATAAATCACTTGTGGGGTGATTTGGAACAAGTTTTTCCTTAACAAAAATGTTAACCGAGGCTTTGTTAACGAGATATTAACGAAAAACCCCGACCAATCAGAGCGTGAGTTTGCCGGCCGAACTGTTAGTTGGTTAACTAGAATATTGGAAATGTTTATTCTTATTATTAATACTACGAAAATTGGATAAAAAACAGACATTCGCTGTAAAAATATTTAGCTCACTATCTTGGCCAAAATAAGTTGGATACGAATCATTTCATAAATCATATTACAACTATGAAAATTGTGCGAGTATATATTAAATTATATACTAATATTAAGTATATATAATATTAATTTCATTCTCCTTGTTATTCCTGTACAGAATAGCTTAAATAAATACAGTAACCTTTTCATACAAAAACATAAATTCTGTTGAATATTGTACTCATGAACATACAAGTTGTCGATCTGTTTTTCCGATACTTCTTTTAATAGCTCCTGAATATTGTTACAAGTCGTTTATTTTTAATTATGGCAAAGCGGTGGAAGTTATTGTTAATGAAAAAATGAATACAGTTGGTTGTTGAAATTAAAACCGTCGGGAATTGATTGGGTCTGCGTGTTTCATTACGCGCGATCGGGATACAAAAATATTCACGTTTAAGCCGAGTCTCGCTCGATTTGTATTCCATGTATTTTTCCATAGCAATCATTCCGGTGTTTTTTCTATGGTATAAGCTTACCGGGATTTTAATTAAATTGAAACGTATTGCGCGTATATCACGGCCGAGAACCAGGAAAATTAAAAGAGTGATTGATACGCAGACGGAATCCGATACGGATCGCGCCGGAAGTTTCGATTTCAGCACTTCGCGGAAGAGTCGACCCAGCGGCCATTTTGAAGAGTCGGTCATCAAGAGTGTTCTTTCACGCTAATATACATATATTGTAGAAACAGCATCAGTAGATACGAATTTTTAATACAAGAATAAAAAATTCAACACTCAAAGAGATTATTCTTTTCTCTACTGATCGCGATTTGTTGCATAATGTTCTAATAATTCTTGTCGTTTTTACGTGGACACTGTGTGCCCAAATGGCAAGAATCATGTGAATATTGTGTACCAAAAGTGATCATTAGTCAACATTAAATTGAATTTTTAAGCTTCTTTTGACATACTACTCTAGAAAATTTTAGACTAAACTTTAGGTATAATTGGATCAAAATGTGATAGCAATGTCAGAAAGAAGGTTTTAATTAATTACAGTTTATATCGACGTACTTCTGTAGAAAATGTCAGACTAAATCTTGGATAAGTTTATATCGAAATGTGATAGAAGTGTTAGAAACATATTTCTACTCAAACTGTTAATGTTATCAAGAGAATGTCGTTGGGCTATAGTGAAATATTAAGTTTTACTAGATAAATTTCACTCTATGGGCGAAATTTATTTATCAAGTTAGATATTAAAAGTGTATGTCTTCTTACCTGGCCAGTTCTCTCTGAAGGTGATGAACCCTGGAGCGTGCTCTTTCAGCTTCAGCCGTAGCCTCGCGAACCCGAGCTTCGGCCTCCATTCGTTGTCGTCGTTCGCGTTCCACATCTCGTTGCGTAGCCTCTCTCTGTGACAAATAGATTCATTTTGTCAAGTCAAACAGTCAAATATCAGCTAACATCTCATAACTACTTTCGAAATACTTAAAAATAACTTATCGTTTGAATCAGAAATTCTACTCTGTACGAGAAATATCAGAAAAACCACTCACAAAAACTTCCCAAAGCAAATTTTATCACAGTTGTAATTTTTTTAACTTTCTCCAATCTCATATGTCTTCACTGAATTTGTTTAAAACTGTACCTTATTGTGAAAATTAATTTTGAATTATAGATCTAAAACTGTCTTATCCACACGTCGGTGACGTGGCAATCAAAGCGTTGAAGAAAAAAGGAGTCGCCAACCAATTCACTCACGCGGCATAATTCGATTCTTATTGGACCAGGTTCTCCCCAACGTCATTTACAATCGTCCCACTGGCCCCCATAATAACAAACCAACAACTCGAACTCGCAATTTCCTTCTATTCATATGCAAATTCCTATCTGTTCAAGATCATTGATCTTCCCCGCTGCACTTTTTTTTTTCTTTTCACATACGTTCACTAGCTCGCGGTAACGAGTCGGTTCCGTTCCCCTATAGGATAATTTTCAATAGTCTTCTCCTTCCTGTCCCTCAGACTGCGCGAAGAGCGAAGCAGAAAATCTCGTCGTGACACGGTCGACGCTTTCCGGCTCGAACGAGCATAAGCGACTGGATTTATTGCCTCGGGTAACATTCGCGGGAACGCGAAATGAATCGTAAAAAAAAAAAGAAACGAAGAAGTTAACTTAACGAGCCAATAAAACTCTCGGTCAAGACCGTACCAGGCAAATACGCCCTATTTACGGTTCGTCTCCCGTTACGGTAACAGAGATATGCATCGATAACGGGGGCGACTTTTCGTAGCTTCCACTTCCGACTGTATGCTACATTCGTTCGCAAATTCCTCGTGGAATCGTTATTGCCAATTTTATATCCAGCTCGAACATCGAATTTTTCTTCGATCAATATTTGATTTTCTGATGCTGCGTTTTATGAATAAATAAAGATATTTATTTTTATACTGATTCGTAGTATTAATAAAAATATTATTTACATCGAGTGTGCCTGAATACTATTTACAACAGACATTTAGTTCGTTCACTTAAAGACATTTTCCCAGGGGTAGTACCACGAATAATATAAAAAATCAATGAAATCATCAAAAAGTATGCTGTGATCGCATAAAATCCGCAATTTACAGATCACCAGAATAGAAACTCATTCTGGATATTCTGCGGATGTCGGACATCCCCTTGATTAAACCAGGATGCAAGTTCGGTCGGATCGAGCGGAGGTCGCGAAAGAAGAAAAAAAAAAAAGAGAATAAAGAGCCGGAAGAGGATAGACGAGAGCTCGTCGATCTTCGAACCGAGCCTGGTGGGAGGAATTATTCATGAATTTAAGTCGAACCGTTGCACGGTACATTGATTGCACCCTTTCGATTCTGTGCGCCGCGGCTAGAACCTAGCCATCCGCCTACTTCTACCCCCTTACCTCAGACTTCTCTGCGCCCTATCAATAATTTCACTCGACCAATGTGCCGAAAGCGGTATTTCACGTGATTTAACTCGCCGCCAGTTCCACCCACGGTCTAATAAATCGTCTGTTCCGGGTGTCTCGGAAAATCTGTCGACCGTTCCGGTATCAGACCATCCGCGCGCGAGCGTCTTCATTCCCTTGAACGTTTCAATTTTCCTGGATCGCGACACTACGGAGGATTTTCTCCCTTATCGGAGACGATGATTCTCGACTGGTGTTACGGTACGCGCTGATAACCAGTTTTCTAAGAGAATCCGAGAGAATTAGAGTCGCTTTTGCTTGTGTACCCTCTCGAAATTAGGGATTTCAGAGCATGGGGACTGTAAATCTGAGAGCTCCGACCCGCTGGATCACCGTCTTATTGGGTAAGCTATGTCCGTTTATTGGATTTTCTTTTAATTTTACGATCGAACGAGATACTGGGAGATCCTGATTCCATTTATTTCGATCTTCTTGTGTGTAATTGGCAAGCTTTTAATATGTAGCTTGTGGCTGTGTAATTTTTGGAACGTAATCTTTGTTGTAGTGGTTTAAATACATGTACAGAGTGTCCTATTTAAATCCACCCACTCGAATATCTTCGAAACCACATGGACATAACTATAAAACCACCCTAAAATTTGTATCTTATGTATTGTGACTTTTTAATAAGGTTCAGCAGTGACAGAGCTTGGAATTCTGAAGCTAATATTTATTTCAGCCATATATGGCCATTAGTTTATGAAATATTTAATATTCAGTGACAAGGTGCCTTCGTATATTCATCAACTATTTACTGTATACCGAAAAATGAGTTTCAGAGGATTGGAAATAACACTGGCTTAAGTGTCTTATATCCAATTGAGACTAATTCGAAGGGGACCATACCAATATCGATGATTAAATAAATATTTTTTGAAATACAGTAATGTCTCGATGAGTGTGATGTACTTGGAGCATTCAAGTCGTGCGCAATCGTAAGGAGCTGGTCTATTAAGGAGAGTCAGGTGAAAGACGTTTAACCGAGGGTCCGAGCGAAAGATATCGCTGAATACAATCTGGTAAAAGCCGACTTGACCACCTCGTGGGGGCGGCTTAAGGGATGGTCCGACCGGATTTATGGAGCCTTAAATCCCGACGAACGTTCTCTAACCCCCCTCCCCAAACGCCATTCTTCTTTTCGGGGGTTGCTTCTCGTCGGAAACGTAATGCGATCTTCTTGTCCTTCGTTGCGGGGCTCACTAGAGTCAACGGAACGCCCGCCATCGCGGAGGACTCGGACGAAGCCGACGAAAGCTGTCAACTTTTGACTTTGGAACTTTTCTTGGTCGCGTGGGGATCTGAACAGTTTTATGGAGAAGTTTAAAGGACGCTTTTTGGCGGTTTTTTCTCCTCCCTCGACTCCATTATTTTTATGGACGCTTTATACTGTTACAGGGTGATCGATAAGTTCTTGAGAATTGTGATTCATAATAAAAATGTAACACTAAAGAATTTTATTGAAAAATGTTTAATAGGAATCAAACAGGTATTTAATCGATGACGTTTTCATAGTATTTACCCTCAGAAGTAACAGAATGTCGTAGTTTGACCTCAAAATTATCGGTCATAGATCGTGTACAAGTGTACATCTAATTGATCGATATGCATCAGTTACTGATGCTTTTATGTCTGTAATTGATCTGGGAACTGTACGATAAACTGTGTCCCTTACGTGACCCCATAGAAAAAAATCGAGCGGATTATTAAAAATTTTCAGACACTTCATCGTGTATATTCGAAAAGTTAAATCTGTAGTACCAAAAATATTGTAAATAGATAAGAGAATGAAAAATTGTTGGAAGATAAGTCGAATTGGAATGTAGAGTTCGCTAGTTATCACTGATATTTAAAATATGAGGATATGTAGGTCATTTTTCCGTAAGATTCAACTAACCAGATCCAGAATAAAATTAAAATATATGAATTAAAAAAAAATGGAAAAACTCGATTTACCTACATGATCCCGTTTTTGGCCATTCAAGCGGAGTGAACCGGCGTCGATCGATATCTGAGGTTCGCTCGCATGCGAGGCACGTGCATCCAACAAAAAGAGTGGATACGAATGAGGAAATCTCGACGGTGAAATTCATATTTAGTCCGAATGCCTCTTCAATTAGCATCGTTAATTTTATTTTCACTGGAGACGTCCTCTTAATAAATTCCAATGTAAATAAGCTTCTACTTTTTTCTCTCCGTTCTCAACTATGTATGTATGTACAGTTGCACAGAACGCATAAAAACAATATTTTCCATTTAATACGCTTCGTGAAATTCCGTGCAATAATTTTAAATAAAATCTATTTCGAAGATTGAGTTGCAACATTTTGTTACACAAACAGTACCGATCTAACAACATTTTTGATAACATTTGTATTCTTGCGTGTACACTTTTATAAGTAATAAATGATTATGTGTGTAAAAATCGCCTTATTTCACTGCTTCGAACTCAATGGGTTAACATACTCTATACAGAACTCTTACACAACGAGCGTGGTGGGCACGTGGATCGATAGAGTTTTATCCAAAGACATGTGTATCGCGTGAAAAACTCACGTAGGTAACGAGATTCAGCGGTAACCCATCTGCGTGTCGAAAGGATTCATCGGTCGATTAACCAATCTTCATCGCGCTTCAACAACGTTCTTCATTTCAATCATCGTTCGTTCCACTTATGGCTTCCCCCCTTTCAACGTCAGTCGCGTGATTCGAGCTGACTATCCGCCGTTCTAAACAATTTCGTATAAAAAATAAGAAATACGTCACAAATTTTACAGAAAATTCATTTAACCCTTTACGGTCTGAATTATGTTATCGTTATTCTTTTTTTACCGCAATTTTTATTCGAGATATGTACTTGAAAATTGTTCAGATATGCTTTATTTTAATTTTTTTAATCTTTTGTATTTTTTTATTACTCTGGAAGAATCCCTATATTTTTTCAGATATTTTGATAGTCTATTAGAAAAAAATAAGTCTAAGCAGAAAAGACCCAGGGGGATGACGAAAGCAGAAAAAGTAACAAACTTCGCGGAGGATTAAACAGAAATGAGATATTCAGGTGGCCTTCTTCCGCTGACACACTCTGTATAATACAATATGACATAAAATGTTTAATAAACCAAAAGTTAGCATGAATTCCGACAGAAGGCACTTTCATGATTTCAGTAGATCGTAAAATAAAAACTTTGCTAAATCCGTCATTTTGACGGTGGTTCCAGTGTTAATGGGACCCCCAACCCACAAAACCCATCCTCTCACCTCCTACCCCATTAGTATTCCCCACTTTTTTTTCGCTGAGCTGCATCCTCGGTTCAAAGTCCCCCGGGGTTGTGACTCAGTGCGCGCGCGTGCACGTCGCAGCAGCGCGTGCGTTTTATTCGGGGCACGTGCGTGCTACGAGGAAGCAGTTCCAAGAGAGAGACC